AGTAGAAGAACCATATTTTTCTTCAAGGAAGTGAAGAACATACTAATGTTGCATTCATCATTGTTCCATTGAATTGTGTGATGTAATAAAGTCCACAAATGCTATGAAAAGAAAGAATGTTATAAAAAAATAATACAAATTATTTATAAATAATGAAACAAAGAAATTGACTCAACTTCCATCAAATCAATCTTTAATTAGTTGTAAATGGATGTTTATAGCCAAAAATGATGCAATAAGCAATGTTATGAGATATAAGGCTAGATTGATTGCTAAATGATAGTCCTAAGTTTTTGGTATTGATTTTAATGAGACATTCACTTCTGTGGCCAAATTCACCACCATTAGAATTATTATGGCAATTGGGACAACAATAGACTTAGAAATATACCAAATGGATGTAAAGACAACTTTCTTAAATGGAAACTTAAAAGAAGACATCTATATAGATCAATCTCAAGGATTTCTTAAAGAAGGCAAACAACATCTTGTTTATAAGTTGAAAAAATATTTGTATGGACTCAAATAATCATTAAGAGGATAGTATCAATGTATTAATACATTCTTTGTAAATGAAAGATTTGTAAGAAGTGAAGATGATCATGTTATATATGTAATGCAATTAAATGAATCTTATTGATTATTATCTTTTATATTGATGATTTGATCATCTTAATCAATAACTTAAAGATGATGAATTAATTGAAGACAAAGTTAAATATATATATATATATATATATATATATATATATATATATATGAAAAAATTGATTTGGGAGAGCTTTATTTTTGTTTAAAAGTGAAGTTTGTGAGAAATCATACTAATAAGACTATTACAATAAACTAAAGCAAGTACATTAAAGATATCTTAAAATGATTTAATATAGAGGAGTGTAAGTTTGTTTGAAATCTTTAGACACTAATTTAAAGTTGATAAAGCTCAAAAATGAGGAATTTGGTGAAGTTAAAGGTCAAATTCAAGGCTTTCCTTACAAAGGAGCAATAAGCTTACTTATTATGTATGCAATAGTTGGTACAAAAATAGATCTTGCATATGTGGTGAATGTTGTTAGCCAATATATGTTAAAGATTGGACCAATTCTTTGAGCAACCATCAAAAGAATCATGAGGTACTTAAAAGGTATTTTAAACTTAAAATTATGTCTTAGAAGTGATAACATTATTTTGTATGGTTATTATGATGTGGATTGAGTTATAAATGCAAATAATAGAAGATCAACAATAGAATATGTATTCTTTGTTGGAATGGAAGTTATTTCATGGAAATTGCAAGAAACAACGAAGAATTATAAGGTCGACAATGGTGTAATAGATGCAATATGGTTAAGATAATTTTTGAAAGACATTGAAGTAGTGCAAATAGAAGAAAATCCAATGGAATATGACAATCAAGGATATCTTGCTTTTACAAAGAATTCAAAGCATCATTCAATGATCAAGTACATTGACATTCAACAATAATTTATAAGAAAGAAGATTGAAATAGAAGTGATTGATATGAAATATTATACAATTAAAGATATGCTTGCTAATTTGTTGACAAAGTCATTAATAAAAGATAGACATCACATATTAAAAAAGTATTAGAATTAAAAGACTTTCATTAATAGCAAAGTTGGAGTGTTAAAATAAATAAATAAAAATTAAAATAGAATAAATTATCTTACAAAAAATATTATCTTAGGTAAATTGTTAATAATCAAAGATTTGATTCTTGATATATAGAAAGAGTATTTCATGGATTTAGGACAAGATTAAGGGCTAAGAGTCAAAGTTAAGAGAATAAAGTATCAACTAAAAAAATATTCAAAGATTACATAAAAATAATTAGTATTTGGTATAAGATATTGTCATAGAAATTGAAATGCCAAAAGAATCACATGATCTTATGTGTAAAAATCAAAGAGTGGAAGTTATCATTTAGGGCAACAACCACTACTTACAACTAATAGATGTTGGAAGTGAGAGTTATCTTACTCCATACTCTCTTTATATACAATCTTGTTGATGCTATGTGTTGTGACTTCAAAGTTCTTTTTCTTCAATAATGATAAGAGGTTATTAAAAATATATTTAAATATACTATAATAATAATGATTTTTAAATCTATTTTAATAATAATACAATAATATGTAATTTTAAAAAATAAATATGCTATCAAAATATAAATTAATATTATAGATATAATACTATATCAAGTTTTAAATTAAGTAATTTTTTTTGAATTAAGATATTTAATATTTACAAGAAATATTTTATTAAGAATAAATATAAAATATGTTTATGAAAATAAAATTTGAAGATATTTGTAGTAACATTTTTTTAAACATAATTATAAATATAATATAAAAAAAACTTATAAAGTGAATTTAAATTAAAGAAGATGTGTATAATACTAGTTAATAAACAATAAAGATAGATTCGTACATATATAGATATACATTTTTTATCAAGCAATAATTGATTAACATGTTTTGATCATGAATCTCATTTTTACTTAAAACATACATATGCATAGGATGTTTTCGAAAAATATTTAAAGAAATAAATATATATATATATATATATATATCAATTGAATGGTTGAAACATCACAAAAAATAAATAAATAAATAAATAAATAAATAAAATAATCATTAGAACTATTGTGTATATTGGAGCTTAAATTAAGAAATTGTGTTAGTTTAAAAAAGCAACAAAACAAGTTAGAATTCTTATCTTTATTTTTCTGATATTATTTTATAAGATTTTTAATAAACAATTTAATTTCTAAAATAATTCTAAATTCTTATATTATTATTATTTTTTGATTTTTTAAGTTTTCTAATGGCAAAAAGGCTCAAAGAGAATTGGAAATCTTACTTTTTCAACAATGATTGGTTAAAGAAATTTCTTAGAATATTTTATCAATACTAATAATTGAATTATGACATTGCAAATAATTTAAGAATGTTGTTTTAAGCAATCCAACATATAAACTGCAGAATTGTGGAAATATGATAACATAGGATCAAGAAATCTTAAAATAAAGTAAAATTATAATAAAATTAAAAAATCATGTTTTTTTTAATGACAGTTGATTTACAGTTGTATCTACAATTGATAATATTGCTTAAAATAATTAGAAATCTTACTTCTGTAATAATACTTAATTTAAAATGTTACTTACAATCAATAATACCACCTTAGGATATGAAAATATCTTACTTATTTTATTTTAATTAATTTATGTAAATTATAAATAACTAAAAAAAATTATTTCCTTGATAAAACTTGGTTTGTTAGATTTCTCATAATGACAAAAAAAATCCTAAAAAACGTGAGAATCTTACTTCATTAATAATACTTGATATATTTCATTGCCCCATTTAAGAATTGAAGTAAAAAAAAAAAGCATTAAAGATTGCAAGAATTTTATGTGGCGAAACCCACCTGCTTGACGAATCTGCCCATTTCAGGGCTTTTCAGTGGTTTTCGTGTTTCACTGCAAGTAAAACTGGAGCTCAGTTTCTGGCCGCATGACTCCGCATCTTCACAACTGAATGTGTCCTAGAGCGATACGCTCTAAGTGGGGCAGTCTAGCCCAATTGGGTCTCAATCTCGAAGCATTCTCGTCATTGCAACTCAGTTTTTTCTATTGACTTGTGTGACTTTTCAACACTCCTGCATGTAAAGTTCTCACTTCTTTCAGGAAAATAGAACAAAACAAAAGTCAATTCGGCTGTTTTACATAAAAACAGTGTTGCGTGTGGTGAAAAGTAGGGATTATTTAGCGTATGGTTTCATACTTTGCACTGTTTTGGATGACACTTTTGTCCTAGATTTCTGTAGGGGAAAAGCTACTAGAACTTGGAGAAACATTAGTGTGCAGTGATGTGAATGTGTAGAAGAAAAGGAGGTTGCAACAAACTGGACTCCTTCGATCGAGTCATGCAAAAGCACTTCTACTAATTTATGATCGAAGTAATCTTCAGTCTGACTTTACCGGCGTCAGTCAAGTGTTTGATCATGATATTGGCAATATACCTGGCAGTGCATCCAGGTGAGAGACGAGCTTACATACGAATAAAACACCGAAACATCAACTGATTTATCGCTTGGATATATCTATATATATATATATATATATATATGGAACGTTGACTAGAATCATGGCAACCACGCTCACCTCCATGTCAATCGAGTTATAACTTGGTCCGCAGAAATGAAACTCAACCAATCGAACCATCACGCAATGCTGAAGCTGTATCAGAAACGTGATTGCCCGAACGCGTACATTTCAACGTCGATCCCAACTTGTGCACACACTGGATCCATTGCGATCGGTTCACTCGCGATGTTTTCTTCGGTCGAAAAATACTTCCCACGACACTGGCAGCTCGCGACAAAACAAACTCTAGTAAATATAATAAAATGGAATTCAAATAATTGTTTGCTAGACTCGAGGATAGTGATTTTCCACGCTGGCTAGCTAGACCATGAATCCAAGGTTTTGGATCTACATGCGAAACGCTTGAGATTTTTAGGTGAAGGGCACTTAATCGTCCCAGTAGAAGTACCATATTGCCGAAGTTGGTGGGCAAAAAAAGGGAGACATTTACTGCAATTTTCTTCTTCCCATGTTGTCAGAATCATTCTCTACACAGAAACTTGGGTACCTCATTCTCCTTCCCCACTGCTTATTCAACTCCATCGCCCGCCAATTCTCGTACTTGGACCCCCACGTTTGCAGCAGGACCTCCTGTTGCAGAAGGGGATGTGTTCACAAGCTCTCGATTAACTGGTGCCAAGAATTTTTGTTAATTAACCATCAAAAGTTTCCGAAAATATGCCAGTTTAAAAGATTCATAAGCTATTGGAGCTATACCCAAATGTCGTTCATGCACAACCAGTACAACAGACAGTTGAGCATAGTTCACATCGACAAATATTTTAAAGTAGACGAAACTGGAGGAGCACCCTCCATTGCACGAGCTTTTTAAATCAGTGGTCCTGGATCGATGTTCCTCACGCACGGTTTAATAGGACTGCTGTCGCAGCTTTTGATACATAATGAGAAGGTGAGAAATCGACAATCATGGTAAGCGGAGCTCCTGAACACACTTGAGCTGCTGAGAGGGAAGGCGGTGTTGCGGCTGCGCTGCGAGGTCCAGCACGTAGAGACGGACCGTGTCTGTTCAGTGTGTGGCAAAGGCGAATTCAGAGTGGTTGGAAGAAGGGGGTGGATCAAGCTGCTGCTGTGATCGATCGCGGGAGTCAGCGATGGCTTCGCGGAGAGGCATGATCTCGTTGGATCAGGCCAAGTCCATGATCGAAGAGCTGCCGCCAGTGGTGTCGATGCGGAGCGCGGAGGATGATGACAAAGGCGGCGGCGGCGGCGGCGGCGGCGGCGTCGTCTCTGTGGAAGCCAAAGGTCAGGAGGAAGCGTGGGACGCGTCGAAGAAGCCCCCCTTCACCCTCGGCCAGATCCGAGCCGCCATTCCAAAGCACTGCTGGGAGCGCAGCATTCCACGCTCGTTGCGATACGTCGCAAACGACATCGCCATTGTGGTGGCGCTCGCGGTGGTTGCTGCGTACGTCGATAGTTGGTTCTTGTGGCCGTTTTACTGGTTCGTCCAAGGGACAATGTTCTGGTCGCTCTTCGTCCTCGGCCACGATTGCGGACACGGTAGCTTCTCCCCAAGCAGGCGATTGAACAACTTCGTCGGCCACATCGTTCACTCGTTTATCCTGGTCCCTTACCATGGCTGGCGCATCAGCCACCGGACGCATCACGCTAACCACGGCCACGTCGAGAACGACGAGTCGTGGTATCCCATGACGGAGGCGCTGTACAGGACTCTCAACATCTTTGAGAAACTGGGTCGGTTGCAGTTTCCATTCCCACTCTTAGCGTATCCTTTCTACCTGTGGACGAGGAGCCCAGGCAAGAATGGAACCCATTACAGCCCTTCGAGCGACCTGTTTGATTCGAGCGAGTGGAAGGAAGTGATCACCTCAACCGCTTGCTGGTTCGCTATGGTGGCGATCCTGGCCGACGTCGTCTTTCATAAAGGTTTCCTCTGGACGTTTAAGCTCTATTTCATACCTTACATCGTCAATGTCGTGTGGCTGGACTTCGTCACATACCTTCATCACCATGGCTACGAGAAGAAAATTCCATGGTATCGTGGGCAAGAGTGGAACTACATGCGCGGGGGGTTGTCCACCATCGACCGCGACTACGGGATCTTCAACAAAATCCATCACGACATCGGCACGCACGTTGTGCACCATTTGTTCCCTCAGATTCCGCATTACCATTTGGTCGAGGCAACCGCGGCGGTGAAGCCTTTGCTTGGGAACTACTACAGGGAGCCGAAAAGGTCAGGTCTGATTCCACTGCATCTCCTCCCCATTCTCGTGAAGAGCTTCAACGAGGATCATTATGTGGCCGACGAGGGCGACATTGTCTTTTATCAGAACGATGTAAAGCAGTGATTCGTCACCTCTTCTTGGCCACAGAAAAAGAAAAAAAGAAAAAAAATCATGGCTATAGCGCGGCCCGTTTGCTCTCAACCTTTCTAGCATGCACTCTCGCGTTGGAAATGATCCATCAATCGGCGATGCATCGTGCAAGGAGGGTCAGACTCCGACGGGACGTTGATTGAAGACCTCCTTCAAAGGATTTAGCGTCTTATAGGCAGACATTCGATTAGTGATAGAGACAATGAGCCAAGATTTGATATTTGAAACAATGTGGCATGGATTTCCTTGCCATCGTCCAGCAATGAAAAAGACTTCGGTCAAGCTACCTTAAGCCAGTCCTCTTGGCTTCAATTTCCGGCACAACTGCCGAGTCGTAATCAGTCTTCTGCGGGTCCTCGAAACTAATTTCCCTGTTCTCCACTCTCACAACACTATTCCACTTGATCGCTATCATTCTATACTGCTGTACAAATACTCGGAACAGAATTGCTGGCAACAAATTCGCGAGCAGCTAAAACACTGACACGTTGTGTCGAATGCTCGTATCAATCCCAGTCGCCGTATTCGCACACACAGTTCCATCTTTCCTTCGATACTTTTGAACCCGAGTCAGAATCTGTCTCTCGATTGCAGCAACCCAACTCGCATCTCCGAGGCGGTAGTGTCGAATTGTGGCACTACCCGGTCGAAATTCCTGCTATTCTTGGATCAGCGTGTGATTCAATATGTGGAATCTCCCCGTCGTGTCAAATCTAGAGATTGGTTGTCTCCTTTGCGGCGCCATTCCGCGTGGCAATTCGGCGAAGTGTGCAGAGCTCCCTGACACGCTCTGGTCATGTCGCCGCCATCGCTCCTCGGAAACTCCGCTCTGCAAGGTCAGTAGATGCTTTGCTGAGGCTTAAGACCAAGACCCCCAGGGGGGGTGGGGGGACTTGAGGCGGAGGTGATTTGGGACGAAGAAGAGAGTGGACATGGGAAAATAATAATATACGATAAACTATTACAAGATAGCATGTTTTGATAATTCCCTCTTTTGAAATAAAATTAAAAATATAAAAAACTAATTTTTAATTTATTTTTCAATAAAACTCTGCATGTTTAAATTTTGTTGAATTAAATAGTACAAATAGCTATAGATTTTTACTTTCTATCTTTTCTTAGTGTTTAATCAAATATTACGATTTTAATGTGTCTTTGATGAAAAATATACAAATTGCATAAATTATCACTGAAAATTCTTTTGTTAAATTATTATAACCTTGCAAGAAAGAAGATACATTATTGCTACTTTATAACTAGAGATTTTAATAATCTTGTTGGTAATTTAAATTAGTTATAATTCATAAACATTAGTTATATTTTTTAAAAAATAAAGAATTTTTGAATATCAACTTTAATTTACAAAATATATTAAAAATTCAATTATAATTATATATAATCTTTTTACTACATCATCTAAATTAATAATAATAATAATAATAATAATAATAATACACCTCTACTTTTTAATTGGTACAATTTTTTAAATAAATAATAAGCAATAAAAATATTTTTGACAACATGAATATTTTATTTTTTTAATTGTAAAATATAAATTAAATAAATTAATAAATATGCATATATATTAATTTAAAATATTTTATTTATTTATTTTTAAAATAAAATTATTATTAAAGTTTTTTGCATTCTAATGGCATGCCCTTCTAATATATAATATTGAGAACTTTGTCTTACATTTTGTAACATAGGACAAAATTTATCATACTTATCTTACAATAGACTTAATACAAAATACAAATGAATATAAACAAAGAATATGACATAGATATGCATGATTACTAAAATAAAAAATTAGATAAGTAAGAAATTAGAACATATAGAAGTAAGTTAATATCTTGTTAGGAAGCTCCTTAAAAACTTTATAGATGCAAATTTGATTTTATACGTATTTGTAGGCTGAAAACTTATTCAATAAGTTGTCTATATGTTGCATATATTAGCAACTTATATTAAACTAAATAAGTATCCATGTGTTGCATGAGTTAGCCAAAAGGTGCACATATTAAAAACTTATTCTTTAAGTTAGACACATCTCTTGCAAATTAAATATGTGTTATGTAGCACATAAGACATTGCTACATAGCTCCTTGGTTAAATAGTATATATAGAGGCAACAATGAGGCCTTTGTCACTCTTTTCAATTCCTTTTTTGCTTCTTGTCTAATTTTAACAATCTTTGGTTTTCTTGTCTTTGGTAATAGTCATTTTTAGGTTTTACTTAAACATACATATTTATTATTATTTTCCTTTTCTAATCTCTCTTTGATATATCTCTAGTTTATTTATCTACCTTCTTTAGTTTCTTGTCTTTAACAAATTGACAAAAATACACTTACAACATTAAAGCTTTATCTTTCTTAACTAATAATAGAAAGCTTTTTTTCTTCATAAAATATAAGCACATTAAAGGTTGTAAATAATGCAATTTGAAATTGTTATTGTTCTTAGAATTTTATTTTTCTTATTCTTAATTTTTTTTTATTTCTTACCTCAAGTGGTATAAGTCATTTTTTTTCTATTATATAATTATGGCAATTATTTTAGATATAATTATTATCACTACTATTATTAAAAAACCAAAAATTATATTACTTAAAAATTTTAATAATATATGATCAAAGTATCAAGGATTTATCAACCAAATACAATTGATAATTAAACTTCAACCTCAAAGCTATTCAATCTTAAAATTACAAGTCATAGTTATTAAAAAATTACTTTTAAATTTTTACTAATCATGGTTTGTAAAAAAAAATTATTAAATTTTTTGAATATGATCTAATATTGAATAACTTAGTGACCTATTTTTACCAAAATTTCAATTCATATTAACAACTATGAATCAAATTGTATTGTTACAAATGAAATTAAAATCAAATGCTTTAGAAATTATTTAACAATCACTACATAATTTAAATAATTGGCAATTTCATTGAAATAGGACAATGTTAATATACAAATTAATATGCAAATGCAATTCATATTTTATTAATTTTTTTATTCCAATCAACTCTTCCATTTACATTTTTTTTTTGTTATTTCAAATTATATAGAATTAATTTATTTAAAAAAAAGCTCAATTACTTAGAATCAATTCCAAGATACTTTGTTCACTTGCACAATGTGGGAAATAATCCTTTTGACTTGTGTGTATCTTTACAACAACACTTGAAAGTAATTATTATTATTATTAAAACGAAGATTCGCATAAGAATCCAAAAAACATTCAAAACCGTGCTCAGTCATAGTAATTGTAAAGGCAAAAACGAAAAGGAGAAAAACATTCTGTAAGAAGTCAATTCATACCACCCAGAAACAGATTAGTATGCAAACAATCATCACCCCAGTTCAACATGTTCACAACCCTTCTAAACATTTTCGCTGGCACTGGCATTGATGGAGGACACAGTGGGCTTGACGACCTCTTCTGCTCTGCAACTATTCCCCATCTCGCACATTCACAACATGACAACAGCAATAGATTCGAAGAGGAACAATAAGGTAAGTATAAACCATTCAAATCAAGTCGCAGGGTTAAAGAGTGTTAATACCTAAGCCAGCTGCCGTTTGAAACCTGAGCTGCTGACACCGAGATATCTTCGAAGATATTCCTATGAGGTAACTGAAAGTAGTAATGAAAGAAGCCCTGCAGTAGAGAGAGCAACAAGCAAATACAAAAACAATAACAAAACAAACACAAAACAAAAACAAGGATACATCAATGATGATCACTATTGTCTAAGAGTCCTTGGGCCAAATCACAGCACAAGGCATACCATGAAGTCGTGACTATGTCAAGCTACATAACCCTTGGACTTGTCGGAGGATCAAGTGATTCACGCTAAGTGGAGTTGAGGTATTAATATTAGTGAAGAACCTCGCAGAATGGAGTGTCAATACAACAAACTGTCATCGCCTGAGAAAGACGCAGCCGGAAAAATCATGCAGATTTCCGACATTGTGCCAGGCCTATGCAATAAAAACTAGATCACACCAAGGTCAACAAGGGTTAGGACAAGCTTCTCACAGCAGCAAAAGAGAAGAATAAAACCACGCCAATCGCTCTTCGTGCAAGAATTCAAACTAAGTAGTGTAAATTCTGGTTCTGCAGAAACACAACGGAAGCGAACTAACGACTTTTCAAACTCCAAGGTTTAAGGTATCAAAAGCATTCGATTGAATAACATTGTCACCTCCTCGATTCGAACCTTAAAAACTACCTCGCAGCACTGTTCCTCCTAACTGCCCCACATTCAATTTTTAGAGCCACGGCGACACGGAGATTTAATTCGGTGATATAATCTAGGGCACAATGCACCAACACCTTCGACACGTCTTCGGCAGTCCATTGGACAACATTTCGGCATTTCAGAGAACTAAAACTGAACTAAAATGATTTTTAGACGAGGCTGCGAGTACAACCCGCACTAATATCGAATCAAAAGAGCGGCGCACCGTCTACTTCTTGGCTTTCAAACTGTTGTTCTCCTTAATCCTCCGCCGATTGTCCAGCTTCAGCAACCGGATCAACTCATCGTCAACCATGGACTCGGGCTTCTTCCTCTGCAATTCACTCAACGGGGGCTTCTTATTGAGCAGGCCACTCAACCACTCGGGATACTCACTATCAGCCAGAATCGGCGGATCAGAGCCGTCCTTCTTAATGTTCGCCCCCAATACGGCCTTCTCACGTAGCTCCTTGGCGACCACGGGCACTACGGGTCCTTCAGCGCTTCGCCCCTTCTTCGACTTCGCCGCAGTTCCACCTTTCGCTGACGATCCAGCAGCGCGAAGACGGGCGCTCCCTTGAAGCGCCCGCGCTCGCGCAGCCATCCCCAACATCCTGGTCACACCGAGCACCTTAAACCCTAAAAAGTCCCAACCTCTGCCTCACGATTAAATTCCTACCATTCGAGCTCCCGCAAAGCTCCAACTACGCGGTGTCGATGCGCTCTACACTGCTAATCGTTCGCGTCCGGCTTCGATCCGCACATACACGCGAATGCGAGCACCGATCACGCAAGTGTTGCTTTCCCTTTCGAGTCTGCGACGTCGCCGGCGACCACTGGGAAGAAACCAGACGGCGACTCATGGATGAATGATTTGCGTCTTGTGAGTGGATGAATATCGTTGAACCATGATGTACTTCACTGTCCAATCCACGGCCGAGAAGCCAATGTTCTTCCGCGTTTGATATGATCTAGATAAACTATATTTTTTTTACTTTAAAAAATTAAAATCGATGCTGGATTTTCTAAAAAGATTGAAAAAGTGTAGAATATATATTAGGTTTTTTTGCAACAACATTTGATGTATCTTGGACTTCATCAACTTATCAAGGAAGTTAAAAACAAATTTGCATATTAAAAAATACCACTTTTTATATAGAAGTGTGTCTATAAATTTCACTTGAGTATTAACATCAAGGTATTGAATTATGATGTAATTATGAGAACTTTCTTTGTTATAAAATTCTCAAAAAAACATCTTATTTTATTTTATTTTTTAAAAATGCATAATATCTTACATAGCCATATTTACGAGTGTATTTACTTAGAATAAATAGAATTTAATATAAATAAGTAAAAAGAGACTAAATTCTAATATCTTGTTGACAAGTTTTTTTACTTCTAGTCATAAGTAATATAAGATTTTTTGTCTTTTTTCTTTTCTCTTTCTATTGTATAATTATTACAAAGTTTGTAGAAATAAAAGGTGTAGAAGAATAAAAATGTGGAAACAAATCAAAGAGTTAGTACTTGCAATGCATCAAATCACTTCATCGCTACATGCAACACAAAGATTGGTTGGAAATGAAGATGTAGAGACAATTGGAGCTACTTCAACATCTACACTTGTACAATCTTCTTCTACAGTAGAATACCTTGCAAGCATCATCACCATTATCAAAGAACCAAAAATTGTCTTACTTGAGAAGTTTGATGGTAGAAGGTAAAACTTTTGAAGATTTATTATAAATAAATGATGATTTTACTTTAGTCTTAAAGCTACTCAACTCTTAGATCACAAATTAGGTTTATTGAATCATTACTTTAAGGTTTTGTCTTATTATGGTTTTTATGCTTTCTTACATGATATTATCTGATATTGAACAACTTAGAGGCTTTTTTTGATTAAAATTTCAATATATATATATATATATATATATGTTGAAATTAAAGAATATGATGTGGAACATATCTCAACCAATAAGATTTGGACCTATTAATTATCATACAAATTAAAGAAATTATTTTTTGGTAAAATCAAATGTGAATATTTTACAATTAATTTAGACATAATTGCAAAGCAATGTCATTGAAAATGTGTTTGGATTTCTTTATATTTTATAAATTTTTTAAAATTTTGATTATAAAGAATTTAATCTTATTTGGTATTGATGTTTCTCCATAAAGGTTTGTTTTGGTAACATCTATAAAAAAGTTTAGTTTTGACGTATAAAAATACATTTTGATTTTATTCAACTTGTGAGTGGATAGGATTCATATTTAAGACATTGATTTGCTTGGTTTTCTATAATACACATGGTAAAGAATATGTGTATTACATGTTGATTTCTCACTCAGATATTATGCTTTTTATATTAATATAACATAACTTCAACTAAATTCAAGCATATATGGGAACAAAATAGCATATTAATGTATATGTGATGTTTGGTGTCAAAGTTGCTTTTCTTCTTAAAATAAACACAAAATAAACAAAATAATTTTAAAATTCAATTTATTTATTTATTTATGTTGGTATTTTATTTTACTTCGTAAAATTAAAATTTGTAAGTACATTGGTTACAATGTAAATTTTTTAACTATAATATTTAAAGAATTACCTAATACCAAACAACAGTTTTGAAATTTTATGGATGTGGAAGACTTTTGAAAAACACCACATGGTTGAAATTGAATTTTTTGTACCAAATATGTTTATATTACATGAGATTGTAATAGCCGAAAGAGTGTTACAGAAGCAAAAACCTAACAGAAATGCCCATTCTCCCCGATAGAGATTGAAAAATTCTGATTACAAAACAAAAGAGGGTGTCTACACAACCAAGCATCCTCACAGAATGATTGTAGCCTGAAAGACGACGGCAATTGCAACGACGACTAGAAATCAAAAAGCATCACACAAGATTCTCTGTTCTCCTCATAATCCTACACAGTTCTCCAGCTTTGCTTCCTGTTGGTTGCAGAAAGAATGAGTGAAGACATCAATTCAAGTTAGCTATGCGGCAACACTGCTTTTCATCTTTCTTTGCTAGAACTAGGCATCGAAAAACATTAACAAAAATGGTAGATTAAAGGGTTGCAAACAAGCTGTTTGCGGCTGACTTCGGCACTGACCACACACAAGCGCAATTGAAGAATCAAGAGCTAAAGGATTGCTCATCAGCTAAATGTATTGTTCTCCGCGTGGATCGCAGCCGGCGTGGTCAGATCCTAGACAACATTTGTGCTCCGGTATCGGCAGGGGTTGATTTCGCTCTAGTGGCATTGCGGTGGCAATCCGGCGAAGGTGCGTCGTCGGGGTCCGGAATCTGCAACAGCCAACGAAACACCCAGATGACCGCGGTTTTGCAGTCGGACGACATGCTGAGCTTCACGGCCGACGTCAGTCGAGATACTCTTCCAGTGCTGCGAGATCCGTCCTAACGGTGACAATTCTGGAAACGCTCAAACCAACCTGCATCTTTTGTCGTCTACGTTGTATCCTAGCATGCTTTGAGTTTCACTAGAACGGAGCTTTTAGCCAAGCAGGAAACAGAGGTAGAGGGTTGCGAAGAAACGCGTGCAGGGAGTGAAAGAGGCCACGGAAGGAGCTTTTGGCCCTGTACGTAGTTCCATGAGCCAAGTATGGTCATATTTGAAGACTTCGATGTGCAGTGTTTGACAAGGAGAGCACCGGAGTCAGACAGTACTGGCCTGATTGGCTTCTCACCTGGAGCCCTTTGTTGGAAAGATGACAAGCCACGGCAGCGGAATGTACACCTTCAGACATATCCACATGAACATCTGGAATATTTAGAACCCAACGTTGATGAGGGAGGGGAATATGTTTGGAGGATGTAACAATTAGGGCATCCTTCTATGCTTGATCCGTGGGCAAAATTGAAGCTAGAATACAACATCCTCTCTCGATTTTATGACATCACCGGTTTTAGCAATAGAGCTAGTAGCTTGTCCTTAACCAATCCTCAGTCCGTCGATGTATTGGTGGACATTTGACTTGCAATAGGAAGTCATTAGATTTGTGTATGACCTCCTATGAAAGGTCACTTATCTATTTATTAGAAAGGTTTTTTATGAACTCCTATGGAAGGTCATTGAATGCTTTACTTCCTTACACATAGAAGTGCAAACTTTGAAAATGGGTGGACTTTGCCTTGCAGGGATCATCAAATGTGGGCAAAGTCCAAGAATAACATTGCCTACTTATTGAGCATGGAAGGAGGCCCTTAGACAAGAGATGGTTTTTTAAAAGGTTAATCTAATCATATATGGATTGTGGCCAATTCATGGATTGTTGTCCTTCTAATCCACCTTCCATGTAGATTCTACAATGAGATTGTGTAGTTGGATAGAAGTTTGGAAGAACTTCATATCTTTTCTTTTAAATTAATTTCTTTCCAACTTTTGAATAGAAATATTAGAAAGATGCATATATACTAACTTCTTGGTAAATCATGTGGATTCTTAAAGATCAATTTCTCCACTCTATTATTTCTATAGCTATTTGATGCAAAATTTTTAAAGTTCATTGCAAGAAAAGATTCTTTTTTTTATTATTATTATTAATACTAATTGAGTAGTAGATTGCTTTTGTAATGTTTGGACTACCTCTACATTATTGAGAAAATTTTGCATTGTAAAATTGTATAAATTAGTTGATTCCATACAACATTATTAAATCCTAACATAGATATTATACTTGCATTGAAATATAGATTTTATTTTTTAAAAAATTACATATATAACAAATAAATAATAAATAAAACTTTAATTACATTATTTTAGTTAATATTTTATAACAAATATTGATTTTTTTTAACTCTAATAGTTTGCAAATAAAGTTTTAAAAGTCATATGAAAATACCAAAGAAGGAAGATGGCTTTAATAATAAATTTAAGAAAAACTATAGTCTTTAATTAAAGCATGGTAGACTTATTCAAATCAACACTACAAAATTATACTTCTTTTGATTCTTTAGTAAATAAGATTTCAATACATACCTACTTAGTAATACTTCTATATATAGATTTTCTAACCAAAACTATTGATAGACTTATTGGAGAACAAGTCTTTGCTATTAGATTGCTTGGTGCCTTGGTTATAAGACTCAAACTTAATTTTATAATTAAGTTTAAGTCTTATAATTGTATGGATATATATATATATATATATATCTTGATCAGAGTCATAAGAACAAAAAAATAAATAAAAATAAAAATAAATTGTGGTTGTATAAAAAAAACGATAATGGCAGCAATCACATGAAATAATTTTTGAAGTTGTTGTAATAATTGATATTACAATAATTTTTATTTACAAAAAAAAAAAAAAAAAAAAAAAAACTATGTTAAGTATAACATTGTTTTTTATTTGATCTTGTTATTATATCTAATAAATCACTAAAAGTTGTGTACTATATTTTCATTAAAATAAATGTATGATTTATATTGAAGATTATATAAATTTTATTTTGTAAATTTAAATAGTTATTTTAAAAAGTTAATTAGTTTCTTGGCTTTTGCTATACTCTATTCAAAAGAGTTTATTTATTTATTGATTTATTAAATTTGTGCTGATAATGGTTCAAATAGCTTTGATAAAGGTTAATAAAAATAAATAAAAATGGTGTAGATAGTGTCATATTTTGTAGTCCCAAGTATAGACTATTTAAAAAAAAGTTGTGGTTTGAAATTTGCTTTTTAAGGATTTTGTAATAATTTTAAAAGATTTTTTTTCATTTATTTACACTTGAGATCTTAAATGATTATTTCTCAAATATCCTATTATTAGATAGTTATACTAATAGATTTTATTCATAATTTCAACATTAATACTTGATTTATATATTAGATTTTTTAAAAATATATATATGTATGTATATATATGTATATATATATATATATATATATATATATATATGATGTAATTTATAAGATTAACAATTTAAGATAACAAGTAGCAAGAACTCATCATCCAAGTTTAAATAATACAAACATATTGAATGTATTTAATGTTATGTTAGGCATTGAAAATATAAATATTATAAAAATGGTTTCTTTTACACTTCCTATCATCTTCTAATACTAGTGTTTGTAGTATTTCAATATGTGTAGAGTATTAAGTCAAGCTAAAAAAATTGATAAACAATTAAATTCCCTTAGAAGTGTGAATCAAAGATATGACTTAGAAATGTCAGTAGAAAAGCTTTTTTTTAAGTATAAAATAAAGGTTTTAATGATAAAGACAACATACATAAAACAATCAATAGAAAGAATCCAAAGTTGTTGCAAAGAAAATTATTAGTATAGCTTCAAAATATGAGTAGCAAAGTGGTTTTAAAAGTAAAACATAATTATTAAAAATAAAAAATAAAAATAAAGAAATGTCTCAATAACAAGGATAATACATAAAAAACAATTAGAAAGAATGATTTTCTCAATAAATATTTATCAAAACATGTCTCATCTTAAGTGTCCATTGCGCTTCTAAGATTGAAGAAGTTGGATAGAAATTAATGTAAGACTCTAATATGAGACATGAGATTGAAATAAAAACTATCACTTATTTATTGTTTGTAATTTTATTTTACTATAAATAAAAGAAGAAAAAAATAAACAACAACTTTAAGCAAAGTTTACGCTCTTGAAAGACACTCTTTAAGTCTTTAATAAATCTTCTTCATAAACTATGGATGACCTTTCATCTATTCTACTAGCAAATTACATTCTTTGGTGATTTGCATGTTGCTTCTTTGATGTTGATTTTTTAATTCTTTGCAATTTTTTAAATTTTATTGTAGTTCTAAATTAACACTTTGTTGTATATTTGTAATTCAATTTTTAAACTTCATAGATATTTCTTTCTCACATTTTTTATGTTTCACATACATCTATAGAAGAAGGAAAAAAACAATTATTTAATTTTAAATAATGGAAAATTTTACATAATTGAAATCTAAAGAAATTACAAAAAAAATAATTTTGATAGATAAGAGCAATGGACAAGTAGCAAAAAAATGACTCGTTTTACAAGCTCATTAACAAAACATGCAAATGATCCTAGCTATTACAAAAAACACATTGTTTTATAAAAAAAAGTTAATATTTATAGCACAAATGTATATTCTTTCTCTCAGTTTTTACAACATCTACATTTCTCCCTATACTAAATGGAAAAAGAGGAGGTGGGTTTCTACCCACCTATGATGCCAACTCATAGTTTTCTCCTATAGTCAAGCATATCTTCATCTCCTAGCCAGTTACATTCTTCCTTAGATTATACAATGGCTCAACTCCATTCTCCCAACCTTTTTTTTTCCAAGAATTCTCTAAGTTTTCTTCAAGTTTGACACTCACTTGACACCGCTATTGTACTCTCTATTGTATTGTAAGTGACATCTTTATTGTAAAAAGCAGATGTGTCGTCCCAAGTGACAATTTGTTACTCATAGAGCCAATTGTTCTTAAGATTTCGGTTCAGTGACGGTGCTTCCAGGCAGTGAGGCTTCGATCCCTGCCGAAGTGGGGGCTCAGTTCGGCATGCATTTCATTGCTTCAAGATTCAGATTCCACTGTCTGTAGTGTTCAGATTCTTCTTTTCGAGTAGGAATCGTGTGTGCAGCAGTCACGCAGGATGGCCCTTGAAGGACGAGCCAGTGTATCAGGGATGACGTGCGAGGCATCGCAACGGTGCATACTCTCTTCTGGACCTTAGTCGGATGTGACGCCATGTCCACATGTGACAGGAATTGCGTCATTCGGTCCAAGGAGTTGGTCTCTCACGAGAATAACAATCACTTCGGAGTGAATGAAGTGCGATGTGAATACACCAATCTTCAAAACAAGAAAAATTCAAGCGTGTATCTCGTTTTGATCATGTCGGAAGAAATACAAGAACATGGACGATTGCACAATATGTATGCGAATCCAGGAGCAGATTTGCACTTGAGATATGACGAGTCTGATTGAGGCAATGTGGGTCTGAGAAACCAGACCGACGATGACCTTATCCAGTCTGTAGAAGCCATTGGGCTTAAACCTTATCCGCACTGAGGTTCTACAACAAAGGCACATAAATCCATCCTCCTCGACGCACAACAGCGAATAACGTCGTTTAACACAAAATTCAAACATTCTCAGTTGTGTCATTATCCACGACAGACTCAAAGCAAGAATTAAATGCTACGAATGTGTTGGGAATCTGGACACTGAGTGAAGACATCAATGGGGAAAACTGTTCAACAGCACCTTTGCGGGCACTACGATCCAGCAGTATAAACATGAAAAAAAAAAAAAAAAAAAAAAAAAAAAAAGTGACATTTTAACGTCGACAAGTAATCTTCTACCAGAAATTTAAGCGACGTCGTCTGTATGCTCAAATCCCACGGCCAGGGTTTATGTATTGACCCCTAGCATAAAACGAAGACTGAGCGATTCGCAACACCAAGAGGAAAAACTTCGAAAAACCTCGAGGAGATTTAACTACCTACCCTATGAACACAAACACTTCACTTGACGCTGCACTTGGCTCCGGCAGCTTCCAATGCCTTCTGCGCCTCCTCAGCATCCTCCTTGCTGACTCCTTCCTTCACCTTCTTAGGCAAGCCCTCGATCATATCCTTCGCTTCCTTCAACCCCAAAGCCGTCAAGGTCCGAACAGCCTTAATAACAGCAATTCTGGCGGAGGCTGGCACTTCGTCGAGAACCAAATCAAACTCGGTCTTCTCCTCCACGACAGGAGCGGCTTCGGCAGGCGCTCCAGCAGCAGCTCCAGCGGCAGGTGCAAATGACGCAGCGCTCACGCCGAGCCTCTCTTGGAGCTTATCGGTGAAAAGCCTTGCCTCTTCCAGAGTCAGCAGCTCAACCTCGGAGACAAGCCTGTCCAACTTCTCCACATCCGCCACCGCGGCGCTCACAGCGATCGACCTCCGCTTCAGGTGCACGGCCGGTACTCTCGCAGCAACTCCTCCGAAGCACACCCTAGCAGGAGACTGGAAATCTCTCGTCCTGGCGACGTAGTTCGCGGCGCCCAAGCTCGCGGGCGTGCTCACGGCTGCTTGCGCCATAGCTGCCATTCTCTCTCTCCCACCTACAAATTGAGCTGGAGCAGACGCGGAATGACGGAACTCAGCGGAACCCACCTCGCAATCTACACAGACTCTGCAGCTGCGAGAAGAAACAAAGCTCAATCTGGTGCCTGGTGTCGCAGAGATCGATGGGTCAGGTCGCATTATCCACTTGAAGCCTGCTCGCGCTCTCCTCCGGACCCCCCGATGGAACTCTATGGGCCGAGCGGAGCCTCATTCTGTTGGCACAGATGGATGATATTGGATAGATGGAAACGGGTTCTTGATGGGGGACGACGTTCGTTGACAGTTCTCTGCATAGCTTTTTATGGAGAATACAAGCCTCAAAATACAAATATAAGTTTTTTGTTTAACTTTCTTTTTTTAAATGGTATTTATTGAATGCATAAATTCATAATTGGATCATAAAAACATAGAAAATTTAAAGTCTTAACATCCAATATTAGGAGCAGAATTCAAAGCACTGTCTCGCATTTATCTAATATATATGTTATGCATTATCTATTATGCTTGAAAGAATAATCAAACCACTTTGAAAAATTGTAGAATTCTGACTCTGCACAATTTGCAAGCAATCCACAATCTATCTAAGCTAACTAAAAGAACTTATTTAGTTGTTTCTTAATTATTATTTTTGTTAATTTCCACAACATAAATCTATATTTAATGAAAATTGACTAAATTAGTTTTATAGACTAATCACTTCATTCTTTATTATTAAAAAAATAGTGCATTTATTTGAATCAATTTTTTTGGAGATACAAGCCTCAAAATAGTTGCAATATTTTTGTAAATATTTTTTAACTAAGGAGATATGTTTTTAGAACATGTAATTTTTTTCTAAGATTGTTTTCATAGATCTCTAATATCTTAGACTTGTTATCAATCTACAAATAATTATTGTTATTTAATCTTATCAGTGTCTAGTTTATAGTTACTTCCAAAATCCATACAATATATTGTTTTTAAAAGGCATGGTATACATAATTAAGAGATTAATGTAGAAAAAATATATCCTTATTAGATTGAATCATCTATATATTTATAGCTACATTCTTGTAATATGTTAGCTATAGTAGCATTGCTTCTTTATGTACTTGTGATCTAAACTATACATCTTTTGATATTATAATAAATATCTAATTTTTCTATTCATTTGGATGTGATTAAATTTTATTAGGCTTTTTATTTTGACGAAAAAATTAAAGAAAAGAAAAGAAAAAGTTTGAATATGCAAGCAATAATATTAAAAAATAATAATAATCTAATTGTAGGAATAAATCAAAATTACAACCCTTAATAGTGTAAAAACAACTCATATCATTATCTTTAAGTTCATTTATCATATATAGTCTATATATTTACTTTAATAATTTTTAAAAAATCTAATATACAAGCAAGGTTAGATACAATCAAATCCACTTAAAATAATATAAAAGATTTTCTTAATATACTATTAAGATGTAAAAGCCTTCATTGTGATCTTATTTTATATATTTCTATTTTTATTAGATAAAGAATCATAAACCATATTTAAACCTTTATTTTTATGGACACATTAGATATTTAAAAAGACATATTTTAGAAGAAGTACATTATTTGTATTGTATAATCTAATCCAATTTTTATATTTGTGAGATTGTACTCCTTTAAAAGACAAGAAGAGCAAAATCCTTAGATATCTATTTGATAGTGTTGCCAAAATTCTTCTTCTTTTTTGGTAAATATAAGTACAAATTCAAATTCTTCTTTTATAATAAAATATTATATTTTTTATTTGGAATTTCTTTTAATTATTTTCATCTTTAATTTTTAATTTTTTTTTGCTTTAAAGGTCCAATAAAAATACATTTATTAAAAAAAAATCCAAGTCCTATTATAAAAATCTACCATATACTTCAAAAAATAATAATGGAGATTTATTATATAAATAAATTATCATTTCATACAAAAAATTTCCAATCCAAAGCTATACCTTAGATTTAGTTTTTTTTATTTGTAATTAGAATTTACTACCCATTTAAAATATAGTCACTATTTTCCTACAAATTTAGATATTTTATTCACAAGTCTATATTTTGAGAGAATTTGTAGATTTGATTCACCTAGAAGTAAGTCTCAAATCACTTATTTGTAAACAACATTGTTAAGATTTCTTAAAGATTAACTAATCCAATTTTATCTTTTCTAATATACTTGTAATCTACACATGTTTTACAATAAGATATTTATTTTTTTCAAACAAAAGTAATAACAAAAGAGAGGAGCTTCAAATTTCTTGAAAAGAGCCTTTTTTCTTCTAAAAGGCACCTAATTTATAGATTTGAGTAATTAAGGGTAATAATGTTGATAATGTTATCTTGCTAAAATTAAGGATGCTTTTAAATTGATCATATATCAATAATTTTTTTTAATTAAAATTAAAAATTTGGAAGAAAAGTTCCTAATTGATACAATTGAAGTGTGTAATCTTCTTCATAATTATCTTTCAAAGAGTTGAGTTTGTCTTTTGTTATAAAGTTGGTTTCCATGTAATTTTAAACCTCTTGCAATTGAGATTGAATTTGGTCTATCTTGACCTTTATATCTTAGTTGTTTGTTTTCTCCATCTTTAAGTCTTTTTACATTATATCAATGCATACTTTATGCTTCTTTGCATGTTTTCCACTATCAACTCTAACACCCTAAGTTCTACCATGTTTAAAGAACCTTTCATTAAGATGATTTTTGTTTTATAATTGTAAAGTTAGATTTTTTTTCCAAGCCATTAAAATAGTTAAATCAAAGTACAACTAAGATTCTTTTAATTATAGAATCTTGCTTCTTCTTTATTGTAAACCAAGTAGAAAATTTAAATCTTAATATATCAATATATATATATATATATATATATATTTATATTCTATGTAAATATTTGCAAAGAATTTTTATTTTTATTGTATTAATGTCTCTTACTTATATCAGATACTAGTTTAATGATTTATTCCAACTAATTGATATTATTGTTTTTGTATTTGTATGAAAGAATACTTAGTTATTAATGCTGAAAATACTTTTCTCTTTTGCCTACTCAATAAGATGTAAGGCCAATCATGTTTTTACAACTGGTGTATAGAGACCTAATTCAACATTTTTTATTTATTTTTATCTTTCTTTTGTTCGATACAAACACTTTGTTCAATATGGTTTTTATTGAGTTCCTTATCATAGTCTATTTATGCCTTACACCAACTTTTTAAGGTGTGTCAACTATGGGGATTAAAATAGTGTTTTTATATTATTACTTTTCAATACCTTATTCTACCAATGTTGCATTTGTGTTATTTTTATTCTGTTTTTCAAAGGAAAAAGTTTTCTATATGCAAAGGCTTACTAGTCCTTACATGTTAACATAATGATTGATGTGAAAAAAAATCTTGGTTATTGTAATCTAGAATAGTACTATAGAATGCTAATTTGATGATAGATTGAAACTTCTTGATGTTTTTGTATATTAATTTCATGTAAAATTAAGTAATTTATAATACATTAATATTTTTAGAAATATTTATTTTAAATCACTTTTGAATAGAATAATCTCTTGCCAATATTCTTGATCATGGATAGTGGGTCTTCTACCAATATTTCTAATTCATGCAGCTACTTATTAAATTACTATGTTAATGAAATTTCATATAAAAAATAAGAAATAACAACATAAAAACTTTGCAATTAATCTATTTTTTTATTATAACTTTCTTATGCATATTTCATATAAAAAATCATTTTTTAATGTGAAATTCCTAAGCTATGACCATTTTTGGTAGAAAGGCTCTCACTTGGAAGTGCTTTTATTTTATGCGGTCAATCTCCATGATATAACTTCTTTATTGCTTCTACTACTCTTTCTTGCATATCATTCTATTTATTGAATGACAAATGCAACATTTATAATCTAGAATATGAAAATTTTGATCAAGTAAATTTCTGAAGTTATTATATCATCAATGATCCTATATGAAATTAATGTCATAATCAAATATCATTTCAACTTACACCATCAAAATGTTTAGAGAACATCATATTAAAAATTCATACAAGATCAAGTCAATGAAACTTTCTTAAACTATTTAAAATCATGTTACAATGAATTAATTCAAAATGAAACCTAATATTCTTCTAAAAATAAAGTAAACAAGTGAACGAAACATGCAAGCACATTTAGATTAAAAATATGAAAAAAAGGAAGGAAAAAAAAAAAAAGGAAAAAAAGAAAAAAAAGGAAGGATCATAAAACCAACTTAACATTCACATTTCAATATAACATCCAAAAATACTAAATTAAGTATCTAAACTTAAAACGTGATAACTATGAAAAAACATAAATCTAGTGATTGATATTTGATTTCATAAGAAAAGGAAGGTGACACTCTCAGCGGGGTCTTCTAATAAATCCCGTGGGACACGTAAGCGACAAGTGGCAGTGCCAGGTGGGACGAGAAAAGAGCCGACGTGGCAGAATCCACAGCTATAGAACCCAACACGCAGGCAGGGAACATGGGAACTCGAGTTCCCTGCTCGCGCACTTCGTCTTTCCCAATTAGATGCTCTGAAGCTATTGAAGGCTCAGTCGCAACTCCCTCTCTCGCTCACCCGCCATTGCTCGGGCCGTGCTTGCTTCTCTGCAGCTTGAATCGAAACTCGAAGGTTTCGCAGCTCATGCTCTTAAATCTGCCGCGTTAATTCCGTAAATAGAATCCATCTTCATTTTCGACTTCGTTTTATCTTCCGATTGATACCTGTGGTGCTATTGCGCTGCTTCGAATTTCGCTTTCGTCTTTGTATGGCGCAAGAGTGCGGTATTCGTGAAGTTTGGAGCAGTGTAACTATTTCGGAGGAAGTTTTGTTGAGGAGGTATTGGTATTGATGAATTAAAATTCTGGATATGCTCTTTTGTGAATTCTGTATTTGTTGTACTCCTTCCGAAGACCTGCTGGATTTCATTCGGTTTTTTCAGATGGTTAGGAAAGATGCGTTTGGATGGAGTCGTGAGTATGTGTCAGTTTCTTTTGTTTTTAATTCAAGTGAAAAGTCTTCTGTTGCAATCACCTTTTCTTTCAGTTTGGAGGTCTTTGAAATTTCTTTTTGTGACTGTTGTGTGGTTCCTTTGCCCATTTTCTAGGCTTCGCTGTTGGATTATCTGAGTAGTTCTCCTTTTCCGGGGGTTTGAGCGCTAATTGAGATTGAAACTCATGGTAACTCGGGAAGCAATGGAACAGTCCAAGACCCTCGACTCGTCACTTTACCACGCACCTACTTTGCGCCAAGGCATTGGCTCTCCTCGTTGTCCACGCTGCTCTGCACCCTTGTCTAAAGATCTTGTACGCTCTAACCTCCATTTATGCTGTTTACGTGATCAAATGGCCATGAAATTTTGCTAATAAAATCATGGTTTTCTTAATTCCGTGAGACGCAATATTTTCTTTAACAATGCCTCTTGAGTTCAGCAATTAATGAGTGATGCTTCAGTAATGAATTTCTGAATTCTTGCATTTATTGTGCTGACGTTATCATATGTATGTATGAAGGCAGTTGTTCATGGCTTGGTAATCTTTTAATTGCCAGTATTTTGTTTGAGCACATTTGTCAGCAGTTTTCCTTCCCTTACATGCGTCTCTGTTGATGGAACATGGATGCAGGAATCGAGTGGGTGGACCATCGCGCCTTTTGTGCGAGAAAGCTTCGCTATGGTAAATTTTCCATTCTATACAGATTTGGCATCTTGTGAAGTGTTGTGTGGTGAGCGATTTGTCGTCTCACTGTTGCCTTTGCTTTACCTGCGAGACTTCGTGAAGGAATTGGTGAAATTTGGATAAATCTTTAATAAATGATATCAATTTTGTAAAGCATCTGGCTCCAGGTTGGAACTGCGGTAGGAGGCACCCTCTCTAGCTTTTATGCGTTCAACGCAGGTATGTGTTTTCTAACTTTAATTTTCGCTTCTGTAAAGGGCATCGAAACCTTAAAAGGACTCTCTTTAAATATTTCTCGTTTTGACCGCAGTTATGCCGCACGTAAAGAAGAGAGTTGGAGGACCAATTTGGTGGCAGTTTGTTGTGGGGGTATTCAGCTTGTTCACCTGTCCATTATGCCTCAATTGAAGCATTTTCCTTTTTTCTTTTTTTGATATGAGTGATATAACACTCTATTCGTGCATACACTTCAACTTGCTCTGTTTTCCTGTTTGTCAAGCAATACTTTCAACTCGTTCTGTGTTCAGGTATCATGAAACATGATTAGGGCTTATATTTTGTTTTGCAGTTACCACCAGTACTACTATTTTCTGTCGGTTGTGCCGGGCTTGGCGGTATACTAAAATCTCTAATACTTTACTATCATTTTTTTGATATTTCACAGCTATTCGTGTCGCATCTAGGCGCCGATTGTTGTGCAGGAAAGTGGTGGTTTCGCTTGCATGAGTAGATAATGGTGATGTGCCTATCTTTCACTACATGTGGTTGCGGACACCACTATGAAGTCTCACTGAATAAAAATGACGTTTGGCACAGGTGGTGTATTACCTGGTCTTGCTCAATTATCAGTGTCTACTTATCACGCTGCCTCTGCATCATCACACTCCGCGGTCTCTGTTATCACCATGGGAGTTGAGGAAAGGGGGACCAGTGTCTCAATGTCGCAGTCCTCAAGTCAAAATTCTGCAGCAGCTCGCGTCAATCAGAAGAGCTAATTCAATTCCGCCGCTTATCACTTCTCTTGCGTTCTGATGGAATCCTTGTGCTTCATCAGTTTAGTTCTTCCTTTCAGAAAACAGGTCTGGAGGTGCGCAAGGCTATATGCGCATGCAATGCAAATGCTCGTTTGCTAGTGTGACAATTTGACTCAACGTTTCTACCATCCGCTTATGGGATTCGAGTTTCATTACATGTGTTTCATGTTTAACAACCGCAGTTATGGTATATCAGTCCTGTAGAATTGCTGACAAATCACTTTTTCTGAGAGTTTTTTTATTTTTTTTATTTTTTTGAATAACAGATAGACCCTGGAATCGAACTCCTCTGCCAACATTGTACTTACTCATTCCTTCACTTAATTGTACATTGAGGCTTTGTACATAGAGGCTTTGTAACTGCAGCTATTTTATAATCTTTCTTCTATTGAGCTAACCTTGATTTTACTACATATAAATGAGAATTGTTCTACATATATTTGTTGTGGCCAATTTTATCTGTCATTTTATTATTATTTTAAAGTAGTGGAAACATGTGTTTTTGGGCACTGCAATCTTTGGCAATGCCTTCTTTTGTTCATTCCATGTTTTGCTCCCATGTTTGGCCAAGGAGAAGATTTCTTTGTCTTATATCCAAGTTGTTATATATAATAGACTAGTAGAAACTTGTGTCGTTTGCCATTGCAATCTTAGGTACATTTCTCTATTTCCTTCTTCCTTGATTCCCATATTTCTTGACTTCCTTGAATTTCTTGTGTTTTCTTCTTCACAACCAATTAAAAGACTAATTGCTATAGGACCTATAAATCAACAATTAGACCTATAGCAATATATGTTGATGAAGTCAAGGATATTATTTGCAATATAAAAGACAACTTTCAAATATGAAGGATTTTCTATAAAATTCATAAGTTTTAATTTATCCAAGGACATAACTAAAGAACATAATATAGTTGCTTCTTATGACTTGTGGCACAAACATGGTTGTCTATACCAAATCAATCCCTCTCCAAATAAGTCTTTTGAGATTATCTACAAGCTATACAAGATTACTCATTTGCGTTGAACCATGTGAATTCATAGTGGAATAAGATCTCATGAAAAAAGAGGTGGTCAAAAAGTATTGAATTATTATTATTATTATTATTATTATTGTAGGTGAAATATTAGAGGATTTTGGTCTCAAAGTTTAGATGGAAGATCTTAAATAACAAAAGATATAATTTCTATCAAAAAATATATTAATTGGAATTGTCTTTGCTTTGAAATATCATTTGAAGAAGTTACTTGATAGAATATGATTCAATTGCTATATAGATCCAACCTTAGTTTTTTCACATTTCAACCTTAGTATCCAAATTTTGATTTGTATACTATTTAGAATTCAAAAGTAACTTTTTATTTAGATTTATTTAAGATTTGACTTAGATTAGTTTTTAAAGCCCATTAAAAAATTTCACATTTTTGCTCTATGGCTTGTAACTAAGCTAAAAAATAATTTAGATTTTAATCTAGATAATAAAAACTTATTACAGTTGTATTTTTTCATTATAATGGAATTGAAAGTTGATTGAAAAGTTTAATACCAAAGTAAATAATCTTATCACTAATACTAAAAAAATCTATACTTCCATGATATTAATATGTTTTATTATATTGAATTAATATAACATAATTGGCAACATATAATTTGAATCTATTGATATGTTGCCAATTTTGTTTAGACACCAACTATTGAAATTAAAGACTAATTTTCTATATCAAAATAAAGAATTATTAGGAATTCAAGTAGGTTGGAAAATGATCAAAATCTTTACTAAAGATCATCTATCCAAGAATTCAACAAAAAAATCAAATGTTTCTTTATGTACATTAATTATCTTTTTTAAAACATGTTTATAATTAAAGATGTTAATAAACAATAGATTCATTTCTATTTAATACAAAAAAAAAACAAAGCTAGATAGAGAAGAAATAGATTCATATATAAAACTAAATTTCATTCTAATAATTAAATCAATTCTAATCTTGTGGCAACTTAGACAAATATGAGTGTTTAAACAATCAATTTTTTTCATCTTTCAAATTACATCTAAAAGAACAAGTTATCAAAAATGTCTCTAGAATTGTAAGTAACTATGATAATAATTATAATTACTTCTATTATTAAAAACTAATTTAATATACAATAACAAATTTCTATAGGATGCCACAAGTGGCAAAATAATTGATAGAAACAAGATAGCTCGGCTACAAAATATAATTTTTCCTTAAAAGGAAGGTCTTTAATTCAATTTATATATAAATTTCTTAAGACAACTTTCTTGAGACAACTTCTATTTCAATAAAAATAAAGTAATAAAAAATAGTTAACTCAAAGATAAAAGAAAAAATATTGCTGTAAGATTTAGATCGGATATTAAAGATTTTGTATAAAATAATTAAAAACAAAAGAAATCACAGCAAAAATTATCAAGTAAGATCAAATAAAAAAAATTAATGAAATTATAAATATTCTTTGTATCCAACTATATCATATTTAGAAAAAACAGCTTACAATATATTTATTATAAAAATCTAACAAGAAAATTTTTAAAATATTTTAAAAATATTCTATTAGATTTTAGAAAGTTTTAGAAGATTTTCAAAATATTTCAATAGAAGATTTTAGAAGGTTTTTAAAATATTCAGTAGATTCTAAAAATTTCTAAAAAGATTAAAGAAATTGTCTAAGAATGATCTTAAAGTTGCTTTATCTCCAAGCAACATGAAAACATCTTGAGAAGCTTTTTAATACCTAATATATATTATAGTCGAGGTGGAAGGAATCTTCAATCTCAACAACACCTCTCTTAGAGCTCTAGCTCACCTCTCTTGGTATTGATCATGTATTCATCTAGTTTAATTAAGTTTATGTTAGTTTTTTTTGTTGAAACTCTTCTATTCAAGTTCTTGTTTGATCTTCTATATAATGTATGTGTGATAGTTTGTTAAGACTACTTTCTTATCAATACTAAAGCTTGATCCTTCTTGGTAGAGAGTAGATTATTCCTCTTCTTGAAGGCATCTGAGTACTTTAGAGATTGTCGACTACCCTCCTTTAAACTAGTATTGTTTAGGTTTTTTTTTTTTTTTTTTTTTTTTTTTTTTTTTTGGCATGGCTAGCGGTGAAGATGTTAGTATGGTTGAATCTATTGAGTCCAAGTTAGATACTATTATGAATACATTGAATGCTTTATATTATAAAATTATCAAAATTGACAAATTTTTTGCAAGATTTTATGGTGATGAAAGATTTAGAGTAGTTTAAGCTATAATGCAATTACTTCTTTAAGCTTCTATATCCAAAGAGGCAATGGTACCTATATTTCAACAAGAAAATTTACCTATTCAACATCATAAGTAGCATCAAATTAGTCTTCCAAAAAAGTTTGATGGTATACGCTCCTAGTTTTAAAGATTTATTAATTAATTTGATTGGTAATTATTTTTGCAACTTAAGTGCTATTTAATAGAAGAGTCATGAATTGATTTAGTTAGAAGCTTGCTTATAGGATAAGCCTTATCTTTATTTGTTCTTTTTTTTAAAAGAGATCTCAAATCTTGAAGAATTTTGAAGCTTTTTTAGAAGTATTTGTGGAAGCATTTAGAAAATATGACAAGGTCCATAGATGACAACAAAGATTAACTTATTATATCAAAGATCATGCTTTGCATTAATTTATGCATGTGATTTTAGGCATTTGATTTGTGACATTAATTTTGATGAATAAGCTCTTATGAGCCAATTCTATTGAAAATTAAGGCATGATATAAAAGACCTATTATTATTATTATTATTATTATCTAATCTTTAAATACTCAATGAAGCCGTGAACCAAGCTGTGAAGTATAATGATTGATAATTTTAACACTGTCAAGATCAATACTTATGGACTTTGTCAATGCATCAAAAATTTGTACTCTACTATTTCAACAAATATATTGCTTTCACATTCTAGAGCTAAGGATATATAAATTCATGCAATATTATTCAAACTTCTTATAGTAGAGGAAAAGAAGTGTCAATTTGATTAAGGCTTATGCTTGTATTATGGTGAAAGAAGTTACACATTTGGAAATTATTCAAAAAAATAACATACAACTAGGATTAGGGATATAATCATTCAGGATAATAAAGAGGCCCAGCTACAATAGGGACTCCAGGGTTGAATATTTCAATACCTTAAGTTTATCAAGGTTCCTCTTTTTCTATCCAATGTCATTGTTGTTTTACTATATCTTTATTTTTTATCAACAAAAACTTCAAATAAATATCTTGTTAGATTCAAAAGCATGTACTTGGTTTTTAGATGACGAGCTTATCAAACTTCATAAAATTTCTCTAATACAAAAGTCAAAATCTATACATGTAGAAGTAAGAGATAATCAATCTTTATCTTTAGGCAATATTACTTTTGAGACCATACCACTAGAAATATCATTTGATATCTATAATAATAAAATAACATTTAATATTATTTAAACTATATTTAATTCTATTATTTTAGGATTTTTGTGGTTGAAAAGATATAATCCATCTATAGATTACAGATTTCATAAGGTTGAATTTCCAAAAAAATCCCTTTGAACAAAACCTAACATGAAGTCATCAATTATAAAGCCTTTATTTCTTGGAGTAAGGACTTTTATGAAGATAGTTAAGTATCATGGATATATATATATATATATATATATATATATCTATTATAACTATCAATTAGATAATATAAATAAATAGAAGTAGATAAAAGTAGATTAATTTTATAATATTTTTTAATAAAGCTTCTTAGAAGCTTTTCAAATGCTATTTTGACTTTACATATGTTTGTAATTGATTGATATGTTAGAAACTTTGTTAACAAAGTAATTACAATCCACATGTGTTGGTAGTTTAGAGAACAAGCTAACTATATGGCTCCCATTTAAAAAACTTATCTTGTGAGTCAAGATACATGTCATGCAAAGTTAACACGTTTTTGGAAATCCTATAGAACATTGCCACATAGATCTTAGATAAATAGTATATATAGAGGCAAAAATGAAGCCTTCTTCACTCTTGTCAATTCATTTTTTTATTTTTAATCTAGTTTCAAGAGTCTTTAGTTTTTTTATCTTTTGGCAATAGCTATTCCAATTTCTTTTTTAATATACATATTTCTCTATTTCTATTAAGTCATAATTCTTTGACAGAGCCTCAATTGATTATTTGCTTTTATCAAATTCTTGTCCTTGATAGATTGACAAGAGTACACTTATAATATCAGAGCTTTGTCTTTTTTTCATTAAGAGTAGATTATCCTTTTTTTTTTTAATAAGACTTAAGTACATTGAGGGTTGTGGATTATCCTCTTCTAAATTGATATTGTCTTTAGTATTTTTTTTTTCTTTATTTTC